TTTTTTGCACAGCCCTAAAGTGCTGTTATTATTTTAAACACTTTGCATACTTTACCTTCATTATTTTACTTTAGACAATAATTATTAAAAGTTAATTTATTTTTTATTTAATTTAACTTTTTTAAAATTTTAATATTTGGGAAATGTGGGAAGGACATTTAGGTTAATTTTAACTTCAGTTGAAGTTAAATTATGTTTTGTTTAATGCATAGTTGCTGTTGTTGTTTTAATTTCACTAATTTATTAGATCAGACAATAATTGATTAATACCTGGCAATATTGTATTTTCAGTTCTGGTTCCTACATCTATGATGTGCAGAAGTTCCTACATTTGTATTGCTGACCTTAATGCTCACAATATGTCTGTTGTTCCAGAGGGCCCCTACGGGATCTTTGCGGGACGTGATGCTTCTCGGGGTTTGGCAACATTCTGCCTGGAGAAGGATGCATTACGAGATGAGTACGATGATCTTTCAGACCTGAATGCTGTACAGATGGAAAGTGTTCGAGAATGGGAGATGCAGTTCATGGGTAAGCAGGAGAATTCTACTTTGAGTTCAGAAAGGAAATGCATAATATGCCCAAAAAAATCTAACAGTGTCTGAAAGATTTCCCCCGGTTTCACAGACGAGGCTTAAGCCTAGTCCCAGACTTAAAAGCATGTCTGAGCTGTTTTAACTGAAAGAAACTTGCACTAACATATCTTAAAATATATCAGTGCCATTGTTTTGTCTCAAGATGCACACCAGTAATGTTTTTTTCTAAGGAACGTTTCTAAAAGATACTTAAATGTCCTAATTGAACTATGGCCTAAACCTGGCTTAGTCAGAGGTAGGGATGTAACGGTATGAAAATTTCTAATCACGATTATAGTGACCAAAATGATCACGGTTATCGGTATTATCACGGTATTGTTAAAATGTGCTGGAAATGTTCAAAAAGTACTGACACACAAATCATTTCACCAAGTTTTACATTTAAAATCAACAAACAACAAATAAAATGAGTTTTTGTTTGCATAACTAAAACAATAACATTGCCAATGATGTCTGGATTTTAAACAAACATGCAAAAAAATAAGAAATCAGGAAGGGGGCCAACACTTTTTCACACCACTGTATATATATATTTTTTTTTTTTCAATGGCTGTCAAAGGCGACAGTGTTGTTTTTATAATATAGTTTTTATTCATATTTTGAATTTGCCTTTTTTATATTTTTCTGTTTTTGCTTGAAATAATTTTGATATGTGCTAATTTTTATTAGGTTTAGGTAAAATTAGTACTTCAAATTAAATTATTTTCGTTAGTTGGCAAAGCTACATTTCTAATTTTCTTTTTTAACTTTTCATTTAATATTTATTAATATTTATTTTATTTTATTTAAAGCTGCAGTCCGTAACTATTTTTGGTTAAAAATGATCTGATGTGATATGAGCTAACCGATCTTTAGATTTAATCACCATTGGTAGCGAGATTTATGGTAATGCTTATTTCCTCAGTTGGTCAGAACAAACGTGGCAGACTTGTTGCTTGTTCAGATGACAATATCCAGTGAAAATTCTTATTTGGGTCATATTCCAAGACGTAGGCTAGAATCTGTGATTGCGAAGTACAGTAAATATCTGCCACACATACTCTTCAGAACATTAGATTCATCCGCGCTGGAGCCGTGTCGACTCACAACCCACGCAAGCTAGATAATTACGCACCCAGCTGCAATTCCAGGTTTTCAAACAGAGATGGCGACAAAGAGGCAAAACTTACGGACTGCAGCTTTAAGCTTTATTTCAAATAACAAAAAAATGCTTTTTAACAGTTTTAGTTTTGTTTTAGTTAAAAATAACACTGCTGGAGAAAGATGGTCTTTGCAGCCAGATGATGTTTTACAGCCAAAAGAGGCTAATAGGTCCATGCTAACTTCTCCCTGGTTGTTACTACCAAAGTTCAATGTCCAAATAAGAGTCCTTCCAAAAGTTTGTGCACAAGATAAATATACACACAATATGCATGACCAAGAAATAACATAAATGCAATTTAATTTTAAAATTGTTTTATTCATTCTTTTTCCAATTGTTCCTCTCTCTCAGAGAAATATGACTACGTTGGTCGTTTGTTGAAGCCGGGAGATGAGCCGTCTGAGTACACAGATGAAGAGGACATGAAGGATCATCAAAAACACGAATGATCTGCTGATACATCACAGCAGCTGAAGGCCAGGACTGAGAAGGCCACCATCCAGAATAGTTAACCCCAGCAAGAAAACCCCCTCAGATCTGCCCTTTACCTTGGTTGTACCGTGTCCCCACTACTGCTCCACCACAGAGATAAACGCGTCTGTCTAAAAGCCCCCTGCTGTTCTGACTGTTCTTCTACCAAAACAGACCAATAGCCTGTCAGAGTTTCCTGTACTCTTCTTGTCTGTTCTTGATACCTTCTCCTTAATCCAGCTCCTTGCCCCCTCAATCTTCCTGTCCTACCTAAGCATTCAATTTATACCATAAATACCATCAAACACTACTTTATACCATAAACCACCAGTCCTGCACCCTAAATCATCAGTCATACAGTCTAAACCCTAAACCCTACAGTCCAATGGAAAGTGAAACGCACCTGAGGCTTTTATAGCATCCTGCACATTTGCGTGTTCAGACTTGGACTGACAATGTGGAGAGATAAATAAAAAGGAGGAAGGACAAAACACTGAATACACACATACACACTCACTTAATTTTCATTGGGGACTTCACTGTTCATGACTTCAAAGGTCACACACATAGAACGGGGCAGATGCCTGGAGTTCAGTACACAACAGGTTAAAAAACGCAACTGGGGTCTCTTTTCATTAAGAGAAGAGACCCCCCCCCCATTTAAGTGATATTTTTTGTTGTTGTTTTTGTGCGTGTGATTATTGTACCACAACACAGATCTCATATACTTCTCAAGCATTTAAATCTCATGCTTATTCGTCGACTGAGAACGTTGTCATTTTAAATCAAAGTATGTCGAATGAATATGGTAACCAATCCAAAAGCCAGATTGTCTGCCATCAGCCAATCAGTCCAAAGGTTGGGAGGGTCTGGGGTGAGTGGGTGCTCTTAGCAATTTTTGTATTGTGTGCACCACTAGTGTGTAGCGATTTTTGTCACAATGTGATTGTAAATCATTCGGGATGGGAAATGTTTGTGGGGCAGAGGGTATCCGTTAGCATTCTCGCCATAAAACTGTTGTTTTATTTGAACTGTGTAAATCTGAACAGCTGGTTGGGATGCAAAGGGAAGATCAGTTCGGTAGTATAAGCTTGTCTGCTCATCGGTCAACAGAACTCTCCTTTCCCCTGTTAATGAAACAGTCAGCATAGTTATTGTGCCTTATTTCCATTTAATTCTACTTCAGAATAGTCAAGAGATGTAGAAAGATACAGGCATGAAAACTAGAGGGAGAAAACGCAAAGATAAAACATGTTCTGCTCTGCCCTTTCCACAATATATACTCTTAGGAGGTTTTTCAAAAGCCAAGGCATCTTTCCCCTCCATTTCCTCACAGTTCGTATGATGAGGTGTGCTCGTGTCTGTGAGCGGATTCCACACAAGAGGCTCGACCACCATTATCGTGACCTTGTATATAGACTTTATGAGCTATTTCAGTGTTACTGCCATATCTGCGCTGTTATTAAACTCCATGCACTGCTGTGTTGTGCTGGCCAAAAGATCCATTGCTCTTTCTCTGTTTCCATCTCTTTTTCCCCTCTTTTTTTTTGTTTTTGTTTTCTCTGCTGAATTTATTTTTAATTGTGGGTAATTTTCAAATCCACCGTTAGGTGTTATGTTTTGTTCTTCTTCTGGAGAGGGGAACTATGAGTTTGGAAGAATATTTTGTCTTTGCTGAGGGGAGGGGGATGAGGCAAAATTCCAAAATTGTGGATTCTGTAAATATGTGTATCATTTTATTAAAGCATGTGCAGCAAACAGTGAGGTAATGCTGGCTCTCACGTCATGTATTTAAATGGAGTTTGCAAGGATGTGTGTGTGTGTGTGTGCTGGGTAGCGGGGAGGACGTGAACGTGTTGTTGCAGAAATAAATACATTTGGTTAATAACTACTGTTATCTTCTGCCCATCTGTTGTGTCATCTTAAGTGCAAAAATAGGCATTGTCTCTCACAAAGGGTATTATTAAAAAAAACAAACTATAAAAGTTGAAGCGGGGACTAACTTCTGAAATGTAAGATGTGTTGAGAAACCACTAGGCTAATTTGTTTACTAAATTTACCTCTATGGATCGTGTCATTCTACCAGTTTTTATTGGGAGTTTTGGACTAGTTAAAAGTTTGTACTTCCATACAGCATTTAGCTGTGAATGATGTGAAGGAATAAGGGAGGAAATTTGTGGTTGGTTGAGGTATTTGTCATGTTCCAGTTATAAATACTGAGAGTGCATATGCAAAAATGTAGCATAGAGTAATAGCAATAGTTTGTCCAGATAATTTTTATTGACTTGCAGACTTATAATTTTAAGCATGATATATCAGTGTGAAATGTCACACGATCTTATTAGAGCTGAAAACAATTTACTCAAGGTAATTTATCAATAATGTGCGCCTCGCACCCCATTTACACAATCAGCAATGAAACTGATTTAGTTTACAGTTTCACAGCTCAGACTATGTAATTCAGCCCTCCCAGTTATGAACTTTGTATCTTAAAAAAATGAATATGTCTGTGTTGGTTTTAAATATTTATTTTTTATAAAGGGGTGGGCTACATCAGACTTTGCTCAGACTTTTGATACCCATTGCTAATGCTATGTTAGTAGTGTTGTCTTCTCACTATAAATAATCACTTCCTGGAAGATGATTTCATTAAGGACTTCATTTATATTTATTTTGTTTATTAAACAAAAATGACAAAACACAACAGCATAGAGATTGAAATAGTTCGCCATTAACCGCCAGATGTCACTGAATCCCTAATGGTCCTCTGAGGTATGTACCGGTGATGGGATGTCCGAGTCATTTCCGCGAATCGGTTCTTGCCTACAGTTCGGTTCAAAATTCCAGCGATTCTTCCAGCGTGTCAAAGTACCTGCTCTGAAGCGTTCCAGTAAAGCCATATGTAGGCACTTATGTATCTTATTATGTGTATTTTGGTTTTCAGTCAAATGGGTCAGTCGGAGCCGCTTGGACCGATTCAGTCGTGAATTAATCGTTCAAACTGTGAACTGGTTTTTCAAATTAACCGAAAGGATTCGACTTAAAAGAACACTAGGTTCAGAAATCGGACATTGCTATGCAGAACATGGGCATAGCGTGATTCTTTCGAATTTCATTTCGCGAACGCTGCTTCTTTTGCATGAGATGTGTCGAATTTGCAGTAGAATTGTCTAGAACAGGACTGCATTTAAGACAGGCGTTTTTTTGTTGGGTAAGTTTGGTTTTCTTGAACTTTATAAACACTACAGTGCTTAAACATAGAGTTGTGGAAGCAGGTTTTAGATTCTGCATATGTCGATATCTTGCAGCTTTATACAAAATATCTGCGATCCACTCGTGTTATTTTGACAACACTGTGGTCAATGCGTTATCATCGTGTATATCTGTAGTGCATGTTCTCGTGGGGAGATTGCATGAATGATTTTGTGGTTGGTTACACAATACATTGTTTCACTGTGACCGGCCGGTTGTGTGAAAGTGTGTGAACCACGGGTTCAGATGAACCAATTTGAGAGGGAAAATGCATACAGGTTGGTAATATAAATATAAAATGCATAAATGCTTAAAATGTTCTTTTTTGGGTTAGTCTAGACAAGAATTTGATGATGCCTTCAGCTCTGGTGTATTTTCAGTCGTCCATATTTTTTAAAGCGTTAACGGAACATAAGATGTTTTATAGCATTTTCTGTACTTGTCTTTATGATTTTTTTTTCTCAGAAAAGGTACTGCACAGGGTAAGTGGTTAAAGTGTAAAATCAAGGATTTTCGGATCTTCTAACAATAACTTCTAATATTTTGATATTTCACATTCACTTGTCAAGAGGGTCTGACAGTTGAGTTCCATTATACTGTAAGTTGGAGCTGATGGTGAGCTTGACTTTAACAGTAGGGACGTTTCTCACCATGGCTGAGCATTTATCCCAGAGTGAACTGGACTATCCTTTTAAGCTCTTGGAATATTTCAATGGATTCAGGATCTCCAAGGTTTGTGTTTTATTCTATATCTCTGTGAGACTCATACTGAATTCCTTATAGTCTCAATAATTTAGTTGTTATCAAAATGAGTGCATGAATATCAATCAGTACTTCTGTGCTACTTCCTATGTGATGTGGAATCACCTCAGGTATGTTTAGCAGACCATTTTAACAATGTGTATACCACACATGACATTTATTGTTGGATTATGAGTAAATGTTTTATGTGAGAGCATCTATTATTTGTGGCATGTCCCCGCTTGTGTCTTATTTACCTCTGTGGCCACCAGGGCTGATTTTACCTCCAGCAGGACAGGCCTATAACTTATTAAACGCCACTGAGTCAAACACTGAGATGACTCAAGACTTTATCACACAAGACCCAGAAAGGATGCTGCATGAACTGTAGAATTCACTAGAATTCTTTTACAAAAACATCAAAATATTTGTCTTGTTTTCCAGATTTTTTAAAAGAAATAAAAATACTTCTATTCAGCAAGGATGTATTAAATTGATCAAACGTGACCGTGACAAATGTATAATTTTACAAAAGATTTCTATTTAAAATAAATACTGTTCTTTTGAACTTTCTATTTGTCAAAGAATCCTAAAAAATGTATCACTGTTTCAACAAAAATATGAAGCAGTATTAAAAATTGATAATGGGAAATGTTTATGGAGCACCGAATCAGCATATTAGAATGATTTCTAAAGAATCATGTGAGACTGAAGACTGGAGTAATGGCTGCTGAAAATTCGGCTCACAGAAATAAATTACATTGAATAATATCTAAAAACAGGAAACTTTTTTTTGTAATAATATATCACAATATTACTTCAACTTTGGGTTTTTCCTGGGGAAATATAGTGGCTGCAGTATTAGTCCAAAAAAATCACACCGCAAAAGTCTTATTTAGTCATAGTATATCAGTAATCAAAATGTTGCCTTGTTGTCTAATTAAAATATCCTAACAAGAAGGAAAACAAGAGAGAGAATTGCATAATTTTTGTGAAAATGACTGATATGAAATGCAAACATATTCATTCAATTAGAAAATGCATTAAATGTTTTTGCAGCTTAAGATGCATTTTACCCTTTAAAAGACATGACAAACACATAAATAACATAAGATGTTCTCACTGACATTTTTATTTAAATTTCCTGAATCCCTGCTCTCCTCCAGGCAATATTTTCAGCTTGTGAATTAGGGGTGTTTGACCTTCTCCTCCAATCCCAAAAGCCCATGAGTGCAGTTGAAGTGGCACAGAAGCTTGGCACCAGTGAAGATGGTATAGAGCGTTTACTGGATGTTCTGGTTGCCATTGAGATTGTGGACGTGGAAGTGGTACAGGGTACAGGTGAGCTGCTAAACTATTTTATATTCCTATAAATATATATATTATATTCCACAAATATCTGGAAGTTACCTTGATTGCTCTGTAATGTAAAGGCGATAAATGTCAAAATCTGTTTGTTCATAAAATCATCTATCTATTGTGTCTAGGTTATTATTAAACTATTCACCAAGTCTCCAAACTTTTACTCTTGTTTTCTATCGTAGCTTTTTACAGCAGTACAGATGTTGCTAATCTATACCTGGCCAAGACTAGCCCAAAATCTCTACATGATCTGATCATTTATAACTCTCAGACCATCTACCCACTCTGGAACAATCTGGTAGACGCTGTTAGGTAGGCATCACTGTTTTCATCATCCATTAATGTCTGAGAAACACTTTAAAATCCTTCTTCTGTGATAAATGTTTGATTGTAGTGATTTTCAGACACATCAGGATTTGTGATCAATGAAAAAGAAAAGCCTGACCTTCTTAAAACTAAACAGTTTAGAAATCATATGTATTTATTGGGTAAAAAAAAAAACAGTATAATCAATATATCTGAAAACCTTTCAGGGAAGGAAAGAACCAGAATGAGAAAACTTTTGGCCTCCCATCTGAAGAGATCTTCTCTGCCATATACAGGTTTGTGTGATCAGTTATAATAGCAGTACCGTTTGGGTGAATGTTTTTGTTGTCCCTAGACGTCACTAGATTAAAAGTCCTTTCTTTGACTCCAGTGTTGCAGTCTTAAGCGCTTAGCTTTTGGTGCTGTGTAATTCTAGGTCATGGATTTTAAACCAATTCAAATTTGAGGCTTTATGACCGGCCCTTCCCACGTCTGGAGGGGTGGTGTGTGTGCTATAGTGTGTATGTGATCGTGAAAGAATGACTTGTGTTATTGTATGTGTGTTTTGGAATCTTTGGGGTTTTTGTGATGATGATGATGATGATGTGTGTGTGTGTGTGTGTGTGAACGCATCTCACGCTCTAGTAATTTCGGTGCATGGGATTATGTGGAGATGTGAATTCATTTTTGTTAATAATAACAATTTTATTAAATGTATACCCATAATGTTTTTTATTATTAGGGTAAGTTTGTATGTTATCAAGGAGTACAAATAAGTGTAATTTTTGCCTGAATTCATGAGGAAAAGATCTTTATGTTGACACCAGTGTGCATGTTTTGCTTATGCTTAACCAAAAATCTGATATTCATTCATTTTTTACCAAAAATCTGATATTCATGTGCCGATGTTATTCATAATACCTTTAGCATTGTGTTTCTCCTGGAGAAATGTAGTGCATGTAGTTTTAGTCCAAAAATGGCACAGAAAAAAATCCTACTCAAAAATATCAGTAATTAAAATCTTTGTATTGTTTTCCAGATTTTTATTGTCAAGAAATTAATACTTTTATTTAACAAAGATGCTTTAAAATGATCAAAAGTGACCGTAAACCATTCAAACTGAAATCTATCTGTTGACACTGGTGGCAATGTTTTGTTTCAGGTCAGAAGAGGAGATGCTGAAATTCATGGGACTGATGAACTCTACGTGGGTCATTGACGGCCATGACATAGTGACAGCTTTCGATCTTACTAACTTCAAGACCGTCATAGATCTGGGAGGTGAGTATAAATGTTGTTTTGACTCTTTCCTTACGAAATATGAATTGAATTATTTGAGCTAAAAATAAAAAGCTCATAATTGTAGAAAAAAATTTTTCTACAAAATGTGCAAGTAGTAGATTTGCAAGTTATGTTATTTTGAGATGCTTTGCAGGCTGCTCTGGTGCATTAGCGCGAGAGTTGGCTAAAGAGTATCCTTCCTCCACTGTCACGGTGCTGGATCTCCCAGCTGTGGTCCAGACTGCTCAGCAGCATTTCGCCCAGCAAGACGACACCATCTGTTTTCAAGAGGGTGCGTAATGACGCATCGTAACATTGTTAATGGTTTGCATTTGACCGATTCTCTTTCCTTCTGAACTTGTCGAAAACAACAAGCAGTCTAATGGCTGCCCTGACCACAGAATATTTTAAGTTTTTAGTGTTATTATAGTTAATGAAACCTGAAATAGAAACTTTTTTATTAACTAAAATATAATTAAAAACTAAAATAACTGGGAAAGAGTCAAACTAAAATACTCAAAAATGGCCTCAAATTAATGTTTTAGTTTCTTATAAATAATATATCATAAAACCATCTGTATTAAACATGAACACATTAAACACTTGATGGCAATAACACTGCTGATAAATTCAGTGCTGTTAGGCATTTTTTTATTATACCAGTTACAGTAGCACATTAACTAAGAGAATTAAATAAACAGAAACTGGTAAACACTGTAATAAATAAATAAACTACCTTTCAAAAGTTTGGGGTCAGTAAGTTTTTTTTGTTTGTTTGTTTTTTCAAAAGATAATTTTATTCAGCAAGGATGCATTATTAGACTTATACATTGCAATAGATTTTTATTTATAACATTTATACTTATTTACAACTTATTTATATTTATCTGAACTCACACAGGCTCATGTCATGTGACACTAAAGACTGGAGTAATGCTGAAAATTCAGCTTTGCCATCACAGGAATAAATTACATTTTAAAATAGATTAAAATGGAAATTTTATTTGAAATTGTAATATTTCACAATATCACTGTTTTACTTTTTGATCAAATAAATGCAGCCTTGGTGAGCATAGGTGTCTTCTTTCAATAACATTAGAAAATCTTACCAACCCCAAACTTTTCAACGGCAGTATAAAACTAACAATGACGTGCATGATGATATATAAGTTAAATGAAATAAGATAAAAACAAATTTGAAAATTCGTAATGGCATTTCTGATCTTTAAAGCAATTAGGTATATGTCGTTTTGTATTTGTAGGGGACTTTTTTGAAGGAGAAATCCCTCCTGCAGATTTATACATTCTGGCCCGGATCATTCATGACTGGAAGGAGGAAAAAAATCTCAAACTACTGAAGAAGATTCATACAGCATGTCATCCAGGTGAGAAAAGATGTCATTACCTGGTCAATAATATTAATAAGTGGCCCTAAAATGATAGCTTTCAAAGCATCTGACTTGCCCTTTTATCTTTGTCATCTCTTTCTAGGTGGAGGCGTTCTGATCGCAGAGGCACTGTTGTTTGAGAACAGCCGTGGTCCAACTATGGTTCAGATGTTTTCTCTGAACATGCTGGTGCAGACAGAAGGGAAAGAGCATCCACCCTCTCATTATACACATCTGCTCACCGAAGCAGGATTCAGAGATGTGCAGGTCTGTCGGACCGGAAAATCATACGATGCTATTTTGGCACTCAAATGAATATGCACAAGTGTATTAATGTAATCATTGTTAGTAATCAGAACCCTTCTGCCTTATCTGCAGACAGTCAGTAATCATATTCATGCACATGTCAGACATCTGTTGTTCCACCTTGGCCTCGTTTGTAAAGTAATAAAGCAGTTTTTTTCTCAAACACAGAGTGAGCCCACTCCTGATCCTTACGATTCCTTCAAAAGACCAATTTTAGTACAAATTAGGTTTAGTTATTTGTGAGTTTGACTCCTGAGGCCTACCAGATGTAGTCTGAGAAGGGGTGGGATAAAGAGCTGTTTTGGATTGGCCGGTGGTGTCAAAATAAGCTCCTCCCTCTATCCCGTCTTGCGTATCTATGCACTGTCGTCTTGACATATGGTTAAGTGTGACCCCTAGTGGTTATTTGTTGAACTAACAGAAAAAAACATTCTACTAAAAATGTACACAAAATCCATACATAAAATAGCAGTAGTTGATTTTTAGCTAAAGAAAGTCTGAATATCAACTCCTGGCCTCATTCCATTTCAACAATACGATTTTTGTATCAAATAGTCCTAATACAATTAATTTACCATCCTTCTATAGAAAAAATGCCTCTTAATTTTTTCGTTTATTATTTGTTTGTTTTTTTGTGAAAACCTTGCACCACCCGTGATGTTGTGCCACACATTTATACTTGTCCACTGAAAAAAATCAAATAAAAGGAAACAATGACCAAAGTATTTTGTTGTGAAGTGATCTCAATGTGATTTCCATCTTTGGTATTTTGTACCTTTCATCAAAAGTGCAAGATGTTCATGATGCATCTCACCTGCTTACAAACAAGTAAACAACTCAAATGGATTCGTAATTTCGTAACTGAGATTATTTAGACTGGACTGATATTTAAAATGCATTACATATTTGAACCTACTTCTGATTAGTAGTTGTGATCCATCCTCTGCACTTCAATAACTGTCTGGTTCAGCTCAGATACCAAATCTGACCTCGGAAGACTACAGAGGGTAGTCCGGACTGCTGAGCGAATCATTGGTACAACCCTCCCTTCTCTCCAAGAACTGTACTTATCCAGAGTGAGCAAAAGGGCTGGCAGAATCACTCTGGACCCCTCACATCCAGCACACTCCCTCTTTGAACTGTTGCCATCTGGTCGACGCTACAGAGCACTGAGCACCAGAACGACCAGACACAGGAACAGTTTCTTCTCTCAGGCAATCCATCTCATGAACACTTAACAATAACTGTGGAACACACACTATTTATTCACTCATACACTTATTTATCTAACACACATACTCAGTCTACACCTCAAATTTGCACATAATATACAGTACCTGTACATACAACGGTCTATTGTAATATACCTGCACATACAATTGTCGATTTTTATATTTTTATTCCTTATTTACTTGTTTAATTTTTTATTATCTGTGTTTTTTTGTTCTGTCACTGTCATTCTGTTACACTGTGGAAGCTTCTGTCACGAAAACAAATTCCTCGTATGTGTAAACATATCTGGCCAGGGACGGATTAACGCACGGGCCTACTGGGCACGTGCCCAGGGCACTAGACCAGAGGGGGGCCCAGCCGAAATACTGCTCCTCCAGGAACGCGATTTCAACCATGCCCCCTCAGGATTTTAAGCAAAGTGTATTTTGAATGCAGCTTCCAAAAGACAAAAAATGGCAGAATAATATTTTTTTTATATTTGATACGATCACACCAGTGTCATTAGAACGTTTAGTGTAGCACAACATCAGCTGCCAAATTCAAATCTGCATTCGCGTTTTAGCTGGTGCAGACCCAGACGCGCATTATAACCAATCACACACGATTCTGTTGAGCTTATGAATGCAATGGCCAATCAGAGGCGTTCAGATGAGTCATCGCTGAAAAGCCCGTGTTTTGTTCAGTGCGCGCGCTCGCTGACGCCGACTGAATTCTGCTCTCTGGCGAATTCTCACATCAGAAACAAAGTGCAGATGTGTGTACGATGTAAGTAAGAGATTCATTTCACAGTGTAAATAGCTTCAGCGATTATAACGGGAGTTTTTGAGCGTGCTTGAACTCTGGCTTGACTAAAATCAATGATAATGTTCTTTGATAATGCAAATATTCTTTGCTCTCTTTATGGACAATGAAAGTGTTATAATTAGTAACTTACAATGTTGTTATTAAATTTTTGTTAAATACAAAGTCAGTCGTATTAAAAATATTTTAGGACGTGACACCCATATCGGGTACAAGTTAAAAGACGGGTTTTATGCATAGGCTAGTTAATAGAAAATATTTTAGGACGTGACACCCATATCGGGTACAAGTTAAAAGACGGGTTTTATGTATAGGCTAGTTAATAGATTACACTAATATTAGGCTACTTTTCCCATAGCCCATTATAGATAAACTAACATGATCTATAAAGGTGCGAAATGTATTTATTTATATTTGAGAATCGTGATATTTTATCATAAATTTAACATGTTTGGGAACGTTTCAAATAAAAAAGGAACGCAATTTCAACCGAGGGGGGCCTTTAATCGGTCTATGCCCAGGGCACTGCTGCGTCATAATCCGTCCCTGTACCTGGCAATAAAGCTCATTCTGATTCTGATTCTGATTCTGATGACATAATATTAAATCTTTATTTACAGAGGTTTCCTAGTGATTCATATTAAACAATGAGTAGGTTTTAGCCGGAGCTTTACAAAACAAATCCCTGTCATCGTCTCCAAAACAGATGTGGATATCATGGAAATCATAATGATAATCCTCTTTTCGTGCGTGAGCGCACTAGCTCCCCCTGCAGGTGGATGAGGAACAGCAGCGGCGCGCATACGTAAACTGGGGACGAATTTACTTTTTATAAAAAGTGGGGGGGACATGTCCCCCGCGTCCCCCGCATAATCTACGCCCCTGTGTGTGTGTGTGTGTGTGTACCTGTTTTTCTATTCTGGTGGGGACTCGCACCTGAATACACACAGACTCATGGGGACTCATGTCACGGTGGGGACCTAAATTGTGGTCCACACGGGTAAACACGCTAATAAATCACACAGAATGAAGTTTTTTTTAAATCTGAAAATGCACAAAGTTTTCTGTGAGGGGTAGGTTTAGGGGTAGGGTTGGTGTAGGGCAATAGAAAATACGGTCTGTACAGTAGAAAAACCATTACGCCTATGGAGAGTCCCCACAAGGATAGTGCACCAGACTGTGTGTGTGTGTGTGGAGGAGAGGCGGCGACTAAAACGCTGAGCAAGCGCCACATAGAAACGCCAGCGCAGGATCAGCAAGACCTTCTTATGTAGGTACACTACATTTTCTTGCTGTGCTGTAGCATATATGTTTTACAGGCAGGGACGTTCAAGTGCTTGCCAGGATTTCCGCGAGCTCTTTATGCAGATGGTCCGGTGCAAATGTAGCACGTCATTAAAATGGCGCCAAAAGATTAAGTTGAGCAGCAGCAGACGCTGCCCTAAATAAATGTTTACGTGCATTTGGCCTCTGTATTAATTTCTATGAGCGCCTGGTGTGGTTTGCTTTGATATTTGGTCGTTACTTTGAATCTGCTGGCCGTGCGTATGTGTGTGTGTCCAAAGCGTCATATGCGCGCGTCCTGGCCTGACTGTGCGACGTATCTTATTTAACCTAAAAGTTTTGGTGTTGAACCGGCAAATGTCATCAAACGCATGCCCATGTTTTGCAGTTTCAGTGTATAACGTTATATGAATTTGGTTATGTTTCAGAGGGGTGTTAGAAAATGTTCCCCGTGCCACGGTCTAGGTTGGTCCGGATTTCACCTCTGCCGCGTTGTTGGAAAAAGAGCGTTAGAAAATATTGAACTTTTCTTTGCGGTTTGCGTTAGAAGTTAAATCCGCCAAATGTATGTATTTGTGCAATAACATTTGTTTTCTGATCGACGAATGTAGCAACACTCGTCGTTATGTGAGATATGTTTCTTGGTACTATACGTTGATTTTTAAATATACCAAAGTGCAGCAAAACACTTGTAAAATTCATTTGGATTCAATGGGAAATAATAATAATAATAGGTTTGTTTCGAACTGGCATTGAAATGGACAGCTATGTGACGTCAAGGGGCGTGTTCTGTCAGTCGCGTCACATGGAACGCTTGCGCAGCGTGAGCTGCTGTTTATAAGAGTGAGACGTTAACATTTGGGCAGAATAATCGTGTTTTGTTTGTTTTTGTTTTTAATTGTAATGCAGTTGAAATTAGCAGATAGTTACGCGATTTTGAAGTTGTGTCTAAATTTATTTTAAACCTTATATTTTTGGTTAAATTCATTAAGTTTGGCAGATCTAATCCATTTTTTAAAATCTGTTTGCTTTGCTTAATTAGTCGCATAAATACAAATTTAAAACACGATTTCATTCTTTTGTTCGATTTAAGTCGTTAAATATTCGGTATATGATCAAAAAACATTATACATTATACAATGTGTGTGTATGACTTTCCAGGCATGCGTGCATTGCTCAGAAATTTGAGTTTGCTATTTTTCTTTTCTTTTTTTTTCTTTCTCAGATTTAATCAGATTTTAATTGAATATACAGATGAAGCGGCTAAGTTAATGGTGTGTACACATGACATATTAAGTATCTAGAACAAAATAACCAATTAATAGCATTAGAGCTGCTCCATTGCAGCGGCTTAGTACTGTAATCACGCGCTTTGCTGTGAACCACTGGGGGTATGCAGGGAACCACTCGCTATAAATCTACTAACTGTGATATTTTCAGAAATAGAAGTCGCGTTTTTTCATCTGAAACGTGCTGCGGTTTATATTCCAAAGCCACTCATATAATGCAGAAACACTCAAGCAAGCAAAACACGCGCAACGTGTGCACATATTTGTACTGATGCAGAATGAGAGGACAGTAGTACAACCTAGCGCATTTCACACAGGCTGTTAGTTTCACTTTCGCCAGAAAGTCGTGTATTGCCTAAGGTTGAAAATAAATGATGTTTATAGTGAATGCCCCTATAAGTGGTCTTATTTTTACGATTTAGTTTTAATCCAAATGATGCGCGTGCTAAGTGAGTGAACATCAAAGATCACACAACAGAAGTGCGCGCTCGCTCTCTCTCTCTCTCTCTCTGTCTCTCTGGCTCCCTACCATTAAGTAAGTTGTGCATTGTTTTACTTACTTGTTTTTTACATATCCGACCGAACT